GGAATCGATTGATATCTAAAGCGGAAGAATTTGGTAAAACCGTAATAACATCCGTATCTGAAGCATATACAAGCAAACATGCAGTCGTTGCGGATATATTTGGGTAGAAGTAAAGTATTTAGGTGTGATAGGTGTGGACTTCAGATTAATAGAGATCTAAATGGCGTCCGGGGAATTTTTCTCCGGGCATTGCTTGATGGAAGTCTTAGTTATGTAACATAGCTATGCCAATTGGTTGATTATAGTTGACTATTTTTGATCGATTCAATCCAGTCACGCGTAATACGCTCGTTAGTATTGTCTTCATTGTTAAAAATCATCAAGCTCACAACCTGTTCCATAATGGAGGAAAGTCACACATGTCACGGAGAAATAAGCTATTTTTCCCAAAATTATTATCGGCGCGAAAATTCCGTTGGAACGCAGACAATTTTCTTCAAAATGGTCGGCAAAACGAGAACGGAAGTCCCATTATTGAGTGAAGCCCGCGTGAAACTGCTGACCAAGTACAGTTGGGATTGATATCGCAAAAACGGTTGACCTTGAATTTCTTAAATTTGTATGATGTATTCCTGCATCGTGCCGCTAATTTTTGATGTTCCCTCAACAATCTTGTTACTAGTCTTACCAAAGTCGTAACATACGAAACGGTATTTCATTATTTCGATTTTGTTGTTGTCAATAATGCAAGCTTATTTCCTTGTGGTATTAAGTAGGCGTTTGTCATTGAAGTCGAATGGTTTTTCTATGACCCCATAAACGGGGCAATTATTCGATATCGAATTTGTTTATTCATTTATTTTAAAAAGTTCTGTACATATGAATACATGAGTTTCTCATAAATGTAGTTTCGTTTTACCGATCTTCCCTCTCATATACACACGGTAGCTGCATCCACGGTAGATGAAGATGATATGTTATTTGACGCATTAGCCCCTGGTTTTACAATTAATTTTGTCTCTGATGAAGTTGTGTGATTCCCATTCTGTTTCTCTCTTAGCCCATCGTTTACCGATACCGGATAGCCTTCCAGCAACTCTCTCATCAGAAGATCTCCACCATTCAACCTACCTGATCCAACAGGTCTTCCTCTCTTCCTCTTTATCTGACCCGTCCCAGCATCCGAGTCAGACGCGCAGACCGAGCAGTACCATTTACCTTTCGGTACTTCCGTAAAGCCAAGACATACAAGATGAAACCATTCAAACGGACAATGTTCTCCGTCGCATGCAATCATCTCGCCAAAACTTACTCGCTGGCAGTAACAATAGACTTGTTCGTCTGGTTCGACGTTAAGATCAATCAAAGGATAAGAGACCGTAGTAACGTCATCGGATAACGAGGGCGACATTGATGATTGGGAGAGCTCCGATTGAGAGATAGAAGATTGCGAAAATGATGAGGATCGGGTGAGTGTTGAATCTTCCAGTAATGAGGATGAACTAGCTGCTTGAAGACGAGTATCAACCAGGGCATCCATATTTGTCATTACGTTTGTAGCACTCGGAGGGGGTGTCGGCAAAATTGATGCTCTGATTATATGGAATGAAGAACGACAATACGTGTTTTGTTACATAGAAGATGAAGCAAAGAAGGGTTTTGTTGTGAAAGTGGCAGGTATGTTTTCGCTTGATCAGGCTCTCGATCCTACCTTGTGTTTCTCTGTCTATTTCCATTTACGCCATTACGACGACCTATATAGGATCATTCACGGTATGATTGTCAATACAACAGTCATCATTATTTAAAAAAGACTCCCACCTCACCACTCATCTAGAACAAGTACCCACATCCTCGTAATTGGCGATCTGAAACGACATTCCGCGGGTTGGGCAGCATCGGCAGAGAAAATTGTTCCCCTTCTACTATCTGTGTATTCATCCACTCTCTTGTATAATCGAGCGACTCATCCTGTAGCGCAACTGTGTGTAATGAGGCCACTGCTTCACTGATTCCATTTGGACTCGAAGACAGGATAATATTATCGCGTAAATTGTGCTGTGGATATAGAGCATCAAAGTCTTCATCCATTCTTTTGACATGTCGCTCAACTAGTTGGGACATTTTATTTGCAATAGCCAACTTTTCATCTTGCAATTGGGACGCTCTTTGGTAGTCTGCTCGAATATTATGCACGAGAACGTCTTCGTCTTCGTCTGCAAACAATCGGGTGCGTTTTACTCGCTTGGCAGTTCGTCGACGTCTCGAGTAAGGCTCGTAATCTGAATCTCGTTCGCTCCTGCTATTGTCCGAAGAGGACGAGCTAAAGTATGCATCGGATTTTATGCCGTCCAACACTGCCCAGAGTCGCTTCTCTCTGATTTTTATATTTTCGAGAATTTCCTTTATTTCGTCTTCTTTATTCTTTAGTTCGTATGAATGGTGTCTGATCTCTGAGGGTAAATTGTCAACTGACGCGAGGAATTCAATAAGATATTCGTTTGCGTCGACTATGTCGGCCATAATTTAATGTACAGTACTATGAAAGATTTATTATATCTACGAAGGTAATGATGTATTCAATCGGGTTGTTGAATAAGCGAGAACCAAGATCAGGCTTTTTTTTATGCAGTGAAAACCAGCCGATTTACATCTCTCTATCCATATCCGGTATATCTGTCATGATAGCGCGGGAAATTGTTAGGTCGTTGAGGTTATTGAATTCGCCTTCGTTTACTACAAAGCCGTATATTTAACAGTAGCACGGTTATTTGACGTTTGGTATTTTAATTTCCCCCCTCCGACATTCATCAAAGACGGAAACTCTTTAGTTAATTGTACAACGAATATGTTTCCGAGCAGTTACAGTTACATCTGCACGATATGGACATGCTGCGTCAGGGTGGTGTCACAAGTACCATCTCACCAGGAAGAGGATATCAATTAAAATATTACTACTAGCAATAAACAGACATCAAAGTCAATCGATGGATGATCTTTCGCGGGACAAGACTCGCAAGAAGGTCTCGATAAACAGTTTTACAATTCGGTTTACTGATAAAAAGTTAACGATGGTTAGCTAATCTGGTTGACTTTAGGGTACTTGATAATGATAATGCGCATTTGCCAGCATTCTTTTAATTATAATGCTATACTAAATTCTCGAATTTATATTGATATGTTGTGTCACGACTACTTTTTAAGGGCCATACATTTTCCTATTGTAAGTTTATATTCGTTTCCCATGGAAATTTATCCCGGTTCCATTCATGACCATTCATGATGACACATGATTGTAAGCATAACGCGTATAAACACGTATGCAACTCCTCAAGATGAGACGCGTTTTGTTTTGAATACTTCAAAGACCATCTGGGTGGTGTAACACAAGCATACTGAACACGAAGAAGAATTCATGAGTCATTATTATGCATACCAAGAAGACATTAAGCACATGGTAAAAGCAAACAGTCAACGACGTTGTCAATATCATCAGTTGTGCCAGAGTTCAATCATAGCAAAGCTAGGTAATGTGCAAACGCATTTCAAAAAACCGAGAAAGAGAGCAGAAGCAACGGAGCGAGAATAGTTGAGTTGGAATGCTGCTATGTGTTATAACACGCAATCCTTCAACCCCGATTATAATGGTTGAATCGAGCGAATAATTATTATTTCCAAGGCCATAACAATTCGTGTGTTTGACCAGTCAACTTATTCATTAGCAGCAGGGTATGAGTTAACTGCATGCTGATGTCACACAAACAATAGTGATGATAACAATCGCCATTTTGATAGTATAATTCGCGCAGACAGTATTAGTATGCCAGAGACTAAAACAATTACATTAAATTAGCTCGCTGTAAAGGTTCAAGAAACACATGACACTTCAGTTTCATATGCTGCAATTTGGCGCCATATGAAAGGAAAGGGATACGAAAGCTCAGTGCCTCCTTGTATTCCAATGCTCACCAATCGTCATTTGAAATGCGTAAGGCATGGGCACAAACGCATATGAACGATAATTGGATATTTGCTGATGAAACCGCTTGTGAGTAGGTGGCACAAACAAGGCGATAAGCCATTTGACAATTGCCAAAATCACGGGAGTGAATTCGTTGCTAAAAACATTTCAATTCCATTCTTTCCTGGATAACTTACTCAACCCTTGTCAGGTCAAGTAAATCTTTCAAAGCTTCTTAAAGTAGTACCAGTATATTCTGAACTTTCAGTAAGACTGTAAATTGCATTTCAAATTCTTCTTTATCCGCTAATTGTTTCTTCAACTTTCCGTTTTCTTCAAAAAGAAAATGTTGATGTTTTTGCAAACCATTCAATTTCTTAAAGAAAATTACCAAAACAGAACTAAGATCTAAGTATTGAAAGCCTTTTCCATTGTCATAATATTGTGCTTTGTTTAATCCAGCTGTACTCGACCTTTTCACAACCTCAACAATATGATTCACACAATCTACAGTTGTTTTGCGATATAGTTTCTTAATCAATCCAAAACTACCATCACACTTAAATTTAGTATGTCCAGGTACCATAAAATCCATAAAATTCAATTCAATGCTTTCGTAATAACCGCAAATTATTAAATATAGGTGAAATCAAATAGTGACATTATTTTTATTCTGACAACCCGCGTTGTCACAGGTAATCTTTAAATGCTTTTCACCTTTATTCAATCTCTTAATCCCATCAAAGACCATGCTTAGCGTGCCATTAGGACCTTTGTTTATTATTTCGTCCTCATCGAGAACATAATTAATTTGTTCGCATTCTGAATACCAAATAAATGCACTTTACGCGGAATAAGATAATAAATCTTACTTACCTGTTGATCGGAATGAGGTACAGAACATTTTGTGCAATCTTAACTGTAATGAGCAGTAGCGTTAACGCTACAATAATCAGCTTTACTATTACCTCTTAGTTATAAAACGATCATCTACTAATTTTCTCTGTTGTTCTGCTAATTTCGCATTTTTGTTGTAATAGTTTCCCTCTAATTTGGCCTTAACTAAATGTTCTTTGTATTTTTTCAATAAGTCTTTTGCTTCTTCTCCCTAACGAGTATTATATTGTAAGCCGTTCCGAAAATGTTGGCACGTGTCATATAATTTGCCATAATTTGCGAAATGCATCATATTTTAACGCTATCATTTTCGAGACCTGCGATAAATTGTGATAAACCGATTTATAACTCGTTTCTGCTGGTAGAAGTACAAGCGATTGAGTAATGCGGCTGACATTTCTACCAGGCCATGTATTTCAGCGTAATTCTCGAGGAAATTTTTCACAGCGGTAGCAACGGTGATATCAATAGTTATTTTGATCTTCCCATCGCGGCACTCTTTTTACATTACCATGAACGCGTGGTATTATACCATTCGTCGCTAAGTGATTTCTGACGTTTTCGAAGTGAGTGCGACCAATTCCTAACATATTGAGATATGTCTTCTGGCAAAGAGGCGTATTGCGATTCTAATAATAAAAAGTTCTTATATTAGTACGTGTTTTCTTTTTAAACATCGACTGGCAGTTATTTCTCCACCATTCATTGCTTTCAGTTGGGCCATTAAGAAAATATCTTGTTCGGATCTAGAGAGAGCTTGAAATGCCTCACGTAATTCAGCAAACCAATCTTTTTTGAGCAACCACAAGTGCAACCTGTCTCCAAGAAACGCTTTTTCATATTCAGTCGAACCATTATAATTGTAACTTTCCATATACGGGTAATCCTATATATTATCCCCTTATACTTCTTTTTCTGTTTTATTTAACTTCTTTATATGCCTCTAACTTTCTGTAACCCCTTATTTAATGTCATATATGCAAATCGGTTTACATCAGTTTTGTTCTTGCTATTCAGATTTATCAACTTACTAATGTTTTATTTTAAATGAATAATGATAAGCAGACATGTTTTGCTGCTCAGGAGAAATCTTATTACACACTTTGTTTACTGGATGAAGAAGTCGCTAACTCGTTTTCCTTCAAGAAAGTCCACGTTGCAGTCATCGCACCCGTAACATTATATTAATATTGCTTGGTAAGATGAGTTGTTGCATTTATTTGTTCCACCATGGCAAGTGAGATTCTCGTAAGCCTTCATAGCCTTCTCAACATTATCACCCAATTCGTGTATGAAAGGATAGACTGTTCAAGTCCATCAATCACAACATGATGTTGATGATCACGTTTTCAGTTCGCAATCGTGTATTCCTGGCTGGTGGTGTAGAATTTGCCTAATCTCTGCTTTTGACTTTCCAATGTCCATGTACAATGTGATATAAGAGGGATATTCTGAGAGACTTTCTTCTGTGTGTGCTGTAAAGAACAACCAATCCCTAGGCATGCTTGTGGCAGAAGCTGGCCAATGTCTGTCCCTTGAAGACCCTCCTACCTTGGAATTGTTTTATATACTCTGTCGGAATTCTATGAATCACTGGCAGATAATTGGGTAAGTTAGTAAACTCTGAATCATTATCAGTTATGTACAAATAATGATGGCACATCATTGCTCCATGTGAGAGGTTAAAGAATTTAACTAGTCGTTCTGGGGGCCTCCTTGAATTTCTTCCCTTTGTTACGACGAGTCGGTCTGATGAATCAGTCGATGAAGTCATGTGATAAAATCTTCCTCCGCAGTCAAAATACTAC